TGATTTCATTCCTTTAAGTCGCACACTCAATCCGTTTTTGACCGCACCTTTTTTTTTTTCTTTTTTTTCACACCTAAGGTGTTTTTGATTAGATAGAACTTACTGCAGGTCTCTTTCTGTCTTCAAAATTATAAATCTCCAACCTGGACGAATTTTTTGAACCGTGTTTACAAATAATTTTTTTCAGTAGACACCGTTACATCCCCTTCCTCAAAGTGATCAATTTTCAGTGTTATCACACAATCAACAAAATGTAGTTCAAATATAATATATTCAGCACGACTTTAGATCCGCTGTGGTTGTCACGTAATTTCCTGATTTGCATATTCAAAATAGTTGTAATATAACGTACTAAACTCTCTGTACAATATCGTCAAAACAATTTGAAATCTCTATTAATTTAGCTTCATCTACATTCTGAGCGAAATCTACTGGTTATCATATTATCAACGTCATTTATTTAAATAAGAATAGCTTAAGGTACATCACTTTCGACGTTACTCCATTGTGATTTCACAGTATTAAAAAAAACTTTATATCACCCGGCTTCTCCCAGTTCAAGTCATTCAAATGTGCAGGTGGAAGAAACTGACATTCAAGGTTAAATAAGGCTTAAAGCATTTTCCTGTTTAGTGTGAAGTGGGACAAAGGTTATGTGGCAGGTTGGTTGCATTTAAATCTTGTAGTTACCCGTGATCGGTTGACATGGAAGAGAGCAGAAGGCTAATCGACTTTTGTGTAGCGCCATGTGACAAGCTTTATTTAAACTATACGACGATAGAAAGACGTAAAACTAAAATAGTGGGCAGTATAAAGTTATTTTCTGAAGAAAGATTTATTGAAATTCTAGATGTTTTCCAATTATCGCTGTATTTATCAAGTATTTGAAATACATGGGAAATGGAAATTTCAATTTTCTATAAATTAGAAATGTATTTTTTCTAAACTTTGACATTTCCATTTAACTCAAAATATATTATACATTAACTGTCTATACATTACAACATCATTAACAAAAAAGCAAGATGTCATTTTAAGATAATGAATAATTAGAACTTCGTTATATAAACAATATTAAATACCTAGAAAACGTGCGATGTAGTTTCACTAAGTGGTTCATTAAATATTGTGAAACAACTCATTTTAGGCTTATTAGCCTTTAGACAAACCTATCTTGTCTCCTGCTTCAACAAATACATTATTTCTAAGTTTGGTTTGGAATTTCACACAAAGCTACACAAGAACTATCTACACAAGCCATCCCTAATTTAGCAGTGAAAAACTAGAGAAGGCAGCTAGTCATCACCACCCACAGCCAACTCTTTTACCAACGAATAGTGGGATTGATCATCACATTATAATGCCCCCACAGCTGAAAGAGCGAGCACGTTAGGTAGGATAGGGATTCAAACCCATGACCATCAGATTACGAGTCGATTGCCCTAACCATCTGGCTGTGCAGGTCCTTCTTTCTAAGAAAACCATTACACAACATATTAAAGTCTTCCTAGTTTTTTATAACATCAAGTTGAAGTTAATCAATTAAATATTATCTAAAATATCACTCATTTTATGACCAAAATTTAGTTAATCACTGTTTGTAGTTACGGAATGTCAAATGTTTTATTGCCCGAGTAGAATTCATGTTACTTTTGTGTGCGATTATGTACCAAATTATTATTAAAGTTTACAAAGTACACATTAAACATGCAATAGTTTTTGTTTTTTTTTTATTTAATCATTTGCAAGTACACTTACATCTTTGTATCTAGAAAGTATTTCCTCATTAATGCTTAAAATGATCAACTGGAGTACATCAAAATATAATACAGTTCCTCTATTTTGGCTCCTCTACACATCACATTAAAGTGCAAGAAAATAATGGATTATTCCACAGATAAATCATACAGTGCAACTGAATGTGAAAGTTACATTAATACCAGAAAATTTAATAGTGCGGAATAAGAGAACAGAGATCATAAATCCCTCCTATATATTCATTTAAACCTTAAACAAAATGCAAGTAGTTTAAAATTAAGTTCTTTTCCAGATTTGGGAAACAAAAAGGGTAGTTACAAAATAAAATCTGTATACAGTGTCAGAATCTGATATACTTGGGGACACTAGAAATCTAATGAATGGTATTTCCAACTGTGTTAAATAATCCCAAATTTGCCAAATTTTGGAAAAATATACAAATCTTTCTTTGGCTTTTTTTGTTGTTTCTAAATATAGTGAAAAAATGTGATGTTATGCAAAGAACATTTCATAATGTCTCTCAAAACATAACACACAAACAAGTCTCAACTGAAGAGCAATGCAGAAACATTCATAAGTCACTGTGTAATTTGGTCTTTACTGTTCTTATATATTTATATAATGTGGAATTATTGATATAATGAGCCACAATTATCTAGTGTTTAAAAATATTTCTACCAAAAACTAATTATGAAAAGTTGTCAGAGAATTTTCACAAAAACATACACACTCTGCAAACACCGTACATCCATTGTTTTACTAAAATAATGAAGATTAGAGATTCCTCATGCAATGTGTAAATAGAGCCAAACATACACAAGGCCTAACAAATACAGCATAACATTAAAACACTAAATATTTGATTATCAACCCTTAATCCCGCACTGTTTTATTGAACAACATTCTTCATCACAAACATTATTTTATAGTATGTGGCTGAATATTTGGATAAATATATTACATGTAGATGTTCTATAACTAGTAAACTTATTTAGGAAGATAGTAACGAATGTGAAATACGACATATATTTGACACATTTATCTCTCCAAAGCTGGAATATAAGTGTACATACCTTCTCTTCATATTAACTTTCACACTTTTAAAAATACCACAGCAGTTTCTGCCAGAAATGGTGGATTTGAATATCCTTAACAAGCATGTTTCTAAAATAAGTCTCTAGAGATGAAAATCACAATACAGCTAAAGAGACCACTTATATTTTGTCCATAAAAATTACACGTTAATTCTTATACTGACAATGTTTGAGATATTTCCAGAAATTAGATAGAAGTTAATGTTATTTAAAGGCATACATGTATACAAGCAGATATCATTATGTATACAGAGAAATATAAATTCTGGTACCTTACAAATAGTCTGAAAGTGGGCACCTTACTATGTGAAAGTTGCTTTTCAAGGAAAAGAACCCTATTTTAAGAAATAAGGTCTTCTGATGAACATCCAAAGCCTTAGAAAATTACATTATTAGCATAGCCACAATGAAAGTTTCATAAAAAGAAGTCAAAATTAACATTTCCATCGTTTCAAATTTACTCCAATTCTTCTACCACTCATGGTAACTGTGACATTGAAAATTTCTATACCAATACTGATTTTAAAACTGAATTGTAACCAGCAATTACTGTTTCCTTATTGGGCTGCCACATTTGTTACAGAAGGAACATAGCTGTATAGTTTCTAGAGAGTTGACTGCTAATAAGTTGTTTCCCTCAAAGAGTTATTAAATAGTTTGTCTCGATGAAATAAATATTTAAGGTAATAATACTGCAAGAATTCCATGAAAATTAATGCTAAAATTGACTACACGGTGCAACTTACACTAAAGCATCCCTCCAATTTCATTCTACACATGAATTATAAAGTTCCCTGGATACTTCCTTTAGTCTCCCGATTTAAATCTGACTATTGAAATAATTATTATGAAGTCACTAGTTAAAAAAAACATCAACAAATAATTACTTTCTTCTGATGATGACTGATGAAAACAACTAATAAAACCAAAATGTTTTCCCTCTGAGTCTAGCAGTAGCTACTCAGTAACTTTTTTGAAACAGTCATTCTGACAGTAAACATTAGTTTTAAATAATGGAATGCACCAACAAAATCAAACTGGTTCAAAGTTCTCTCTGTGGAAAGACTTTCAATTATGATATGAAAATATTTCTAAACATCAAGAACTCTTTTATTCAAAATTTAGAGCAAGAGACATTTTTATTTGCACTTATTTTGAACAAAAAGCACACTCAAAAAATTTAAACCCACTTCCTTACAAACAGGTTTTTTTACTCTTTTTCCTCAGAGATTAAATCAGTTTTCCCAAACAAAAATTTGTTGTGTTACTATGATTTTAGGCTGAAGGTCTACAAAAAAAGTGCCTCAACCAAATTCATGAAACAGGGCTGATACAAAAAAAGGTTTAAATGTACCAATTTAAAATGAAGAACCATGATTTATTATTATTTTATGAAATATTGCATGAAGTTTAATACATTTTCACTGTCATTAAGAAACATCATGTTTTCCCAGAACTAGCAATTTTTAGTTACATTTTGTCATTACCTGATTATGTCATCATTATTTAAATACTAATATCACCTTTTTTTACACACATATATAGTTTATTGTTCTTTATTTTAAACAGCTTATCCTTGAGTTTAAGATTTTTAAAACCTTAACAGTAAAAAAGTTATTAAAGCTTTCAAAATTGCATATTTAAAAAAAACTTTTGTACTTCTCCATTTATTTACTTTCCTACATGGGGTATCTGCTAGCTGACTAAGTTAGAGCTCAGACTATGACAACTGTAGGTTGTCTCATGTATACAGTTCATTATTTTTACAATTTAGTGTACTAAAATCATTTTAAGACTCAGTACATTGCATAATCTACATTATTAATAACATTAGATTTTATTGTATTGTCTTTTAATATAATTTTACATTTGATTTGTTAAAACAAAAAACAATCACTATCAACTTTCCATCAACACAGCTTGAAGCAACATTACTAAAGTTTCTCAAATAAGCAACATACAATATAATCTCAAAGATTTGCTGTAAATAAATCATATCATGAAAATCTGACTCAATATATTTTTCTATGGCTTCCCTGAGAATTAAGTTCAGTAACAGTTTAAAATCAACCTATTTAAAGATCCAACAAGAGTAAATTAATAGCACAATTCACTAATTTCACAATAAATGAGTTGTAGTACTTTATAAATGTAACTTTAAGAAGAAAAAAATGTAAAACAGAGCACAGTTTACATAATACTTAAAGCTTTTATTTATATAAATTTACTGCAAAAGATTTTCATTAATTAAAGAGAAAATGTAATAGCATACAACCTATTTATGATAAGAAAAATATATAAACATTTATATTTTAACATCTGACTTCTATACTAGAAACCATTAAAGAACAGGAGAACATTACCTTAAATAACTGATGATTGTACACTGGTATTTTCTGTTAAGATAACATATGTAGAGAAGAAAATAAATCATTGAAGATAAAAGATATCTTTCCCATATAAATATATTGATTTTAATGTTTTGCATGATAAAATTCGTTGTTTTCATTATCAAGTAGTTGTGTTTATACTTTATCCAAATAAAGTGAAAACGAACCAATGAAGTTTTTGTGTGAACTCAACCACATTGGTGGGGAATTTCAATCCATCATTTACTTTTCTGTCAGCCTACATAAGAAGTTTTCTGACAGTAGTTTCTATACGTTTTCTCTATGACACTGACACATATTTACAACTTCAAGTATCAACAAACTACTAAAGTAATTACAGGTACAACTGTTACACACTGTATGCAAAAATTGAACTGTGATAAATGCTGTTGAAGCTAAGATGGGATAAATCTATTTCTAGAAACAGTTCATATCATTCAGAAGGGCTGCTACAGTTGTTTTTTTTTCCAAAATATAAGCAATACAAGTCAAATAGAGTCCCATGTTGCTAAAACTTTTGGGAAAGGCAGAAAAAATGTACATGAGAATAAATGTGTTTCAGGAAAAAACAGTAACAGTTTATATCATTCAGAATAACTGCAATGCTTATTGTTATATAATAAAACTAAGTTACTAGGTCAATGCAGCCACATGTTGCTACAAGACAATTTTGTGAAACGTCTGAAAACAATTTACTAATACAAGCAAAGAATAAACAACCACATTGTTAGATGCTTGATATCATAAGAAAAGTCCTCAATGTTCACAGACTCTACACATTCATTTTTTATTTATTTTTTCTTGTGGAACATATTGAACTTTTTTTGTTACAATTAAGCAGAGAAATGTACGATATCACAAAATTTTGACACTATTTATAACTGTTGTTGTTACAATTAAATGACTATTATCTCAATAAAGTCCAAAGATGCAAAACTACATTTGTATTTGCACTAACAAGTCTAAAAAAAAGTCAATACACACACAAAAAAAGCACAGTAAATGTTAAAACAATAAAAAATATATAAAATGCTGGGATGATAAAACACTTGGAATGCCAAACTGTTCCTCAAAATAAATCTTTATTTCTGATTATATAAATACTGATGTTTATAAGAAAACCTTCAGCACGTGATATACAAAACACAGTGAATTTTCATAACAAATAATTACAAGTATTTTCTACCATATTGTTTTCCAATTCACTCTCCACAAAAATAAAAATACATAAAATTCTTCAGAGAATATTGCCTAATACTAACTTGAGTCAAATAAACATCTTTGAACCTATGTTGTGTACATGCACAAGAAAATGGAATCCCGTTGAATACGTATGCACATTGAACTGTGCAATTTTACTCAAATCTATAAATTATTAGCTTATTCCTCCTAAATGCCACTAACAAAAAATATTTTCGTTTATATATGGAAACCCAAATGGTGAATTGGAATAGTTAATTGTTTTCAAGAAAATTCTGCATACAATATAAAAACAATAATAATACAAGTTTTTTTTTCTACAATAAGCAGAGCAAATAAAAATTAGTTTATAAATGAAAATAATGGCTGCCTAAGGCATAGGTACACTAAGGCAGCCTTCAGAGGTGTCCGTGTCCATCTCCTATCCTTACTTTCGTTGTCGTATTTCCTTACCTTCTCTTTGATCAGGAAGATTTTTGCTGAAAAAGTATTTGCCAATAAATATATTGATAACTAATTAAGTTAAATTCTAACATGCCTTAAATGAAATGCCTTCATAGTCCTATACAGTTAAGCAAAGGTCATAAACGGTAAACATTATTTTTACATTTTGCTCTCTATCTATATTTACTTTGTTCAGATGAAAGCAATCTCCATTTCTTCAAGAGTCACCTCAAAGGGTTATAAGCTTTTATATATTTATACAAAGTAGTATGTATACTTTCAACTATTTAATTTTATGTGGTATGTTTATATTAACATAAGTAATAATATGCAACTTCAATGTTATGATACAAGCAAGTCTGTATGGAAATCCAGTATATATTAACCAGCACATGAAATTGTTAAATAGCACTGAGTTAATTATGTTCTGATTCAACATACTATTTTTGTTATTCAACAGAAAACCTTTCAGCTACACCATGCTTCTTTTTCAATAACAAAACCAGCATATACCCAGAAAAGGGCTTCTATACTAATGAGTTTGATATATATATTCTTTAACCTATTACAATACCAAACCTGAATAAAACTGAGCAAATGGCTATATGTATAAAATGTTCTTTACAGATATAATGAAATTATACAAGTGTTCAGTCTATATCTACAATATTAATTACAAATTCACAATAATAATTAAATGGTTACTTTTTTGTAATTTCAGTGAACTCAAAGCCACCAGTACAATTCTCTGAATAAAGATTTACATAATTTATTATAGAGTTTTGATATTTGAAATGATTAACAGTAACACTGCTTTTTAACATTCGTGACTTCTGCTTAAGTTCCACAGCTTGTAGAATAAAAAAATTAATCTGTAAATAACTAATACAAGAATCTCCACTGCTTTTCAATTTGTCTGTTCCACATCACTAAAATAAATTTCTTGTACTAAATACAAATAGAATTTCAAATATATTATTGTCTTCAATAAATCCAGCTAAACTGATAAGTTTGGCAATAAACTTTAAATCTCCTAGGTAGTCAGCCATGACAACCACAGTGTTATTTTTACATGCCTCTAATTCAAAGTTGGAATAATAGTATGATAAACTATTAACTTCAAAGATTTTTTTTTGCAAATCCTAAAACAAGAAAGCATCATTTCAAATCACTTTTCGCAAAAAAGGAAGAATGCTGGGTATAGAGCTGAATGGTTTTATGTCTGTTACTTAACATTTGAACAGAAAAAATATATATGCAAGTTTAAAAGTTTTTTTTTCAAATAATCTCTACACCAACAATTTACATAACTACTTGGACAACAAAATAATCAGTTAATTCTAAATGTTATTATTTACCTTCAAATATTAAAAACTACATATTCAGCTTAAGTTTAATTAAGTTGTTATGAACAAGCCTAATTTCACTAGGGATTAGTAGAAATTAATAGAATTCATGTCAATGGAATAAACTAACTCACTTCTCAACATTCTGGTCAGTATCAGACTCGTCAAAATCAGGTTTAACTCGTTTCTTCTCATAAACAAAAATAATGGCACACAAAACAGCCACCTCAGCACATATCCCCAAAAATGGCCAAAGAGCTGCTAGTTTATCTAGAGTAGAAACCACTGGATTAAACCTTAAAATGGCTACATTGATTTTTCAACTGAAATAAGATACACTTAAGGTTTCAAGATAAACAATGAAGTGTTTCAATTCTATGTAGTTCATAGCCCATAAATCTCAGTAGCAGTATATAATTCATACAAGTGTCTGTATACTGTACACATACATATGAATGCATAACAAGACACATAAATTTACCAATAAATATGCACAAAAATAACCTTTAATTACAAGACAAGTATATCAGATTTCTGTACAAAAAAACCATTAACATTCAAATATCTTCAAGATTGTTTAAAAATAGAAGTCTAGATGGTCAATTAAGTAACACTCTAGATATTCTAATTATTTCACAAGGTGAATGAATCTATACCTACTTACCTTTAACTCGCACTAGTATAGTGCTTGTGACATTGTTAACTCCATTATTTGCTTCACAGGTGTAGTGAGCTCTATCATCATAATCCAGCTCTTCGATGATAAGTTTTGCATTAGGAACTCCTTTCTCATTAGCTTCAAGCTTAATACGCGAGTCTGAAGAATTCAAGGAACTTCCATCTATACAATAACAAATCACACTAATGATCTTATTCCTACTTTTAAATATAAAACAACTGGCAGCTGTACATACCATATAACTTTTCACCCTGATTAAAAGCCATTTTCTTGCATCAAAATTCGTGTTGGTAAAAGAATGTCAAAATGGAAAGCTTCATTTCTTTTTTGATTTACCTCTACCAGAGTGCTAAAAGTAATCATTTTCATGAAAGTAACTTCTCAGCCTTTGTAAAATACTGAACATTAGATAAGGTCAAATGATTGAACAGTTTTTAAAAATAGTATTTTATTTATTTATAAAAATTTTACGTTCTTAAACTTGTAAATTTCTCACACATGGTTTAAAAAAGACAGGCCTCTGTTCATATGTGTGTGTACATGTATTACATACACATTTTATTCCACTGAAAGGTGCATTTTTTTCGTGATTCTAGAATTTTAGGGAAGTACAAAGTAGTTTCTAAATTATCTAATAAATATAAAAGTTAACATTTTCCTTACCTTAAATTGTATTCCAGATAGAAACTTACCTTCCTACACCAGTAAGAGTTATTTCTTCTAATGCAACTTCCATGGAAATTCCTGCATATGCCACAAGTCTTAAACAAACTCCCACCCCTATAAACATCTAAGTGTAGTGTGCTATCTTATGATGTAAACATGTAAACCTCCATAAAAAGGAGGGAAACACAACCTCCATTTGCAGTAATCCCTGTAAGCACAAGCACATGATCATAGGCTCATTCTTGATAAGGCAAACAAAATGCAGTAAAAGTAAGGAGGAAGGGTGGGAGGTGGTGCAGAGATGTAAGTAATGTTTCTGAAGTTAACATTTTCCTTACCTGAAAATGTATTTCAGACAGTTACTTACTTCTCTGCACCATGAAAAACTAGAACCCCACACTGAAAATAGTGGAGGGTCAGTGCTGATCAGTTGCAAAGATGAAAGGGAAAACTCACTGGTTGCATCTTCCACAAAACCGGAGGTTGCCTAGTGAAGCAGCACCCAGTGGAAGATTGCATCCTTCTCAAAAAGGGTATACTCTTAGCCCTATTTATTTTTTTCATTAAAGGAATAGTAGAGCATATGATATCAGGAAGATCTAGTGCTGGTGGTAACACGTTCCTAAGATAGGTGGAACATTAGAATTTTAGTGTCACTAGGGCTTCAGGTCATTCCATATGGATGAAATACTTGCAGATAGATACTGTAATGACAAGTGGAGGAAGGAGGAGCCCTCACCTGCATCCTGAGTGAAGTCCAAGTTCCATCCAGTTGAACATGTCCACTGGAAACTGCTTCGGAGATGTTGTAATGGGGTGTCTTGTACTACACATCCAGGTAACACTCTAGCCCTACTTCTCAAATGAGGGGTGGGCCCAATCAATCTCTTATTGGGGGAAAGATACCACTACTACATGAACAAAAAGGTTTTAAAGAGTTCTGTGAGAGCAAACAAAAGGAAGGAATTATTACCTGGCTAAAAGCAGATAGCTATGGACAATGCCAGTTGGTAATCTCAAAGGGTAGAAACAAACAGGCCCTTGTCAAAAAGCCAGGTAAAAATGAAAGTAAAATGTGGAAGTGAAGGACAACTTGATGAGAGAGTGGTGGAGGGACAAATGGCAGTAAACAGCCCATTTATGTTGATAGAGGGCAAGAGTGGAAGGCTGATAGGAATGAGAGAGAAAAAGGGGTATTCTGTAAGAAAATCCTATTATCTCAGAAGGGACTGCACAAATCCCACACTTGAAGATAAAGGTGAGACACTCCATTGTAAAAGATGTACGACCAAGGTTGGCTGAGGAGGTATCTCCAAAGATGGAGAGAAAAAGGCTCCTTGGACAGCAAGCAATGCAAATGTGGAACCACAACTTAGCTGGCCAAAGAGTAGCAATTGGAAGAACTTGGCAAGAAGTGCTGCAAATAATAGAGAGCACTCATGGAAAAAGAGGAGGAGGGTAGGAATAAAGAAAGATATTGGACCTATCCTTAATAAGATCATCAACAGCCAGTGTTTACCCCAGAATTGGTGACCAAAAGAGAGGAAGCTTGTAACTGAGAGAAGTAAAAAAAGAACTGATCAGTGGGGTCTTGAAATGGCAACACATCCACTGGAAGACCAAAGGATGCAATGACCACTCAAGGAAATTGATCCTGTCCAGTCAAGACAAGCAATCCTCTATCAAATTCAAAAACTCCAGACCCCCGAGACATGACATGCCGCAAGGCAAATATGATGATTATAGGACCAACACAGAAATTCCAGAGTGAGAAAGCACACAGGTCCCAAAAGCAGGTGCCTCCCTGGCAGTTGATGTAAGAAACGGTAATAGAGTTATTCAAATGGGTCATCACAAAATAACCTGACAACAACAGAAGAAGTTAGCAAGCCTGATAAGAACTGCAGACATTTCCAGAATGTTGAGATGCAGAAACTATTCCTCTGAAGACCAGATCTCAGAGAGAGTGATGTTGTTAAGAATGGCCTTCCAACCAGATAGGGAGGCATCATTGTACACATGCAAGTTGGGGTGAGGGGACAGGGTGGACTACTCTCAGTTGTGTTGGAGCAATCGAGCCATCATGACAGAGAGAGATGTAACGAGAAGGGTAATAAGGGTAGATATGGTATCACAGAACATGTTTTATTGAATCTACAGAGCTCACTGAAGGGGTCACATATGTACATGACTGAGAGGGATCAGGTCCTCGAGAGAAGAAAGTCCACAAAGGTAAGAGAACCTCCTGCACAAGAAGAAAAGAAGAGACAAGTGCCTGAAATATCAAAATCTCCATGGCATGATGATGCAGTGGAGAGGGTTGAACCCATTACACACAGGAATTGAGGAAAACTCTCAGATGGACAAGATACTGAGGAGTCAAAATGAATTTGGAAAGTTTGACCAGCCAGCCATGGCAACACATCTACTGATGAAGAATAGAGATAGCAATCAACAAATCCTGCCAAGATGGGGCTAGAAAAAGCTAATCATCCATATATTAATGGAAACAAAAGCCAAAAAAATGCATGTACTGAACAAAGGATCACATGATCAGTTTAAAAACATAAGAAGCCATTGTTATGGTCAAAGGAAGGATACAGAACTGAAATACTAGTCCATTGTGGACAAACCAAAACAAATGACAGGACATGGAACAAATGGAAATGTGAGAGAAGGCATTTGAAATGTTGATCTTGGTCATTCACAGCCGGAAGAAAGGGCCCAACATAGTTTGAGAAAGCCATTCATCTTCAGAGTGATTAAGAGACAAGAGGTCATTGACAGGGCACTAACCTCCCATCTTCTTCTGGATGATAAAGAGTTGGGAATGAAAGCTCAGGGTGGAATGTAAGACAAAATGTATACATTCCACCACCAACATAGAAGTTACCATGTCAAGAAGACGTTTAAGATGCAGAGGACAGAAGATGAGGAGAAGGAGTATGAAAGAGTAGGACCAGACTACCATGTCCTGAAGACATTTAACATGCAGAGGATAGAAGATGAGGAGAAGGAGTATGAAAGAGTAGGAGCAGACTACCATGTCCTGAAGACATTTAACATGCAGAGGATAGAAGATGAGGAGAAGGAGTATGAAAGAGTAGGAACGGACTATGAGAAAGAACTAGCAAAACCAAAGGGTTGCTGGAGAAGAGAGACAACAGGTGGGCAAAGTTGTAGAGGCAGGTACCAATGAGCACAGAGCTGAGGATCAATAGAGGAGTCATCCACCACTGAGATGGCCTGCCCGATGAGAAGGGGATGGCAAACAGAAGTGATTGGATGAAGATCATGAGAAGGTTAGCCCGATGTAACTCCCAAGGATGGGTAGAGACTGAGGTACCCATGGTTTAGTAAGTCAGAAAACCAAGGAAACAATGGAAGATTGCTGGCAAGCAACCTCAACCCAGGATTCCAAGGAGACAAGAACACCTTCCCTCCCCCAAAGACCTGGTTCATAAGAAAAGAAGTAAGATAAGAGGATGGGAGGCAGATCCTCAAAAGGAATGCATCCCAACTAAGAAGATTCCAAAAACAAAGAAACTAATGGGTGTTGCAAAATAAATCATACTTTTTCCCCAAGAGCTTAACAAAATAAAATAAAATTTTAATTCAATCAAAAAAGTAATTCCAAGTATAAATATCGCTTGAATGGGCCACCATTGTTCTCACATATATGAGTTTTAATTGATTTGCAAACGATTTCAACAATGCAACAAACATGTCTGTTTTTGTGGCCATCTCTGTAAACACATCAGTGAGAACACAAATCAAGGTTTCATGTTTGTGTCACTCGCATTCAGGCAAAGTTTCCATCATTTCTTCTGTGCATTGTTGAATGAAAGCTCCAAAATTTTCGCCAGGATTTAAGTCTAGAGATTTCCCAATCCACATTCCACCACTTTTTCACGGACCATTCTTTCAAATTCAAGTGCCTTAACCACCAGGCTATGCTGGGCCAAACAGCTTGAAATCTTTATATTTTTTATCTCAACTAAAAAACAATATCTCAGTGAACTCATTAATATCTCTCATTGCCTTAGAATTATCTACAAAAAGTTCACATTTCTGAAATTTTATACATACAAGACTCTTTATACATACAGAATATGTATATATATAGAATTATCATTTATTTTTTCATAAAACACTTATTATCATGGAGGAACAAACTTCCTTGCCAAGATAAACATGAATATATGTATTGTAAACAATAAAAATTTACAATTCAATAGCAATAAACATAAGAAGCAAGTTTAAATTAAAAATTTATTATCAAACAAAGAACAAAAATATTCCACATTCATATTTCTTGAACTGCACTACATGTAAATTAAAAAAACAAAACAAATTGTTTTTGTTGTTTAAAGAAAAACAGCAACCAATGTAATTTTTTTTTATTAAGAATTGAAAATGCCACAAAAATCTTGAATTATTTTCTGGCTTAGTAAAGTCATGAAATATTTTGACAACTGAATTTAAAATATAAAATCAGCATTGTTTGCTTAGTCTAAATCAACCTTTTTATATCTAAATAACTGATATACTTAACATACCTTTCAACCAGGTAACAGTTGGTGTAGGAATTCCTTTCACTTGACAAGACAGAACTAACTTGTCACCCTGAACAAGGTTCAATGAACTATGGAACATTTCTATAAACTCTGTACGAGCTGTCAGGTAAGAATTTTTCATTTTTTAGGTGACATGAATAACAAATTCTACACACATAAATATCACTGAAAATTAATGTTTATTCATGATATACAATGTTTTGTAACCCCATAACCAGACATCTTAACTTCTGTTTAAATATCCTGTATAACCAGTTCCACTCACAGACTTCTAGAAATGTAGCAAAGATTATAATAACAATAAAAAAATTAAAGTGTAATCATTTATATAATCTATGCCATGGCATATGCCTTTCATTGCTTTAACATTCTGCAACTACAACTGAAAACAAACAATAACTTAAAAAATTACCTTGATTATTGTGGTAGTAACTACTACAGTTATTCTATAAGCAAGTAACTGAAAGTCTTTTTATAAAAATGAGACTTTTATTACATACACCATCCCATTAAACCTATGCCATAAATAAGAAATTACGTGTCGAGATAATAAGGGTGGATAATTTTTGTTGCATAATAAATTTGTCTTAATCATTTTATACAAAACACAAAGTTTAAGTAAACAATTTATTTAAAAACTCTTGCTAAATATTTTTATACTGATTCAAAGCACATCAAAATCAAAATCTCATCCATGGTAAGGAAAATACATCAATGACTAGTAAAGATTGAATAATAGCAACAGTGTAAAAACAAATATTATGTTAGATCAACTAATACTGAATTGTATTAACTCAAACTAAACATTACAGATGCATTTTGTTAAAGCAATCATATCAGTGAAGGTTTATAAATTGCACATTAGTCACTAAATACCATATTATTACTTGATTGGTATTTTAGAGTACATCAAATTTTAAAAAATTATGCTGTTTTGTTGGTTCAGATTACATATAAATTCATTAAGTGCTACATACAATAGCTACATCCAGTATAAAAAATGAATAAAACTTACACCAGTCACATATACATAAAATAATACTGAGCTTAGTATTTCCAGCATAATTTTGGAAATTATACAACTGGACTCTAAACTTACTTCGGACTAAGATGGTGGCATTAATATCAGGATCTGTCACAGCACATGTATATTCACCAGTGTCATTTTCAGTGGTTGATTTCACAATCACAGTGTTGTTTTCTGAGAATATTTGGACTCTATCATTATCATTCAAAAGTAATCCATCCTTAAACCTGTAAATACATAGTTGAAATAATAATAATAATTTAGTTTTAATTGTGTTTTTAGCATCCATTTATCCATTTGAAAAAGAAATATCAATGAAGGCAGAAATTGGTATAAATAAAATAAAAGTTACACAAATGTAAATTTATATATATACATACATACAGAATAAGAGAGAGTGTGTGTTTGTGTGACAGAGCTTTATGGAATTATCACTTAATTTTTCAAAAAGTCACTTGTTATTATGGTAGAGCAAACTTCTTCACCTAGGGAAGCACTGATACTTGTACAGTTAATGATGTAATTCCACCTGAGGAAGAGCTTTTCCTCAGATGGAAAGTTTGAGGTTAAATAAAGCCTTTATATTTCAAAGTGGTACTTCAACCTGTATGTTTTTTGTAAGTAGAGCTGTAAAATATATCTTTACTATAAAAAGTATACAAGTTTTCACTTAACAATTTCGCAATGCTTTATATGAGGGGGTGTCACTGTTTGAAATTTTTCTAACTACTTACTCATAACGTTTCAATCAATTAAGTGGTTTGACTTAGTGTACAAAGTTTAAAAACTATAGATCTCAAGTTGTGGAGCTGACACAGATCACAGACTTTATTAAACTCGTATTTTCCTTTGAGTTGAGTTTAATTATTCACTCGTGTGCTAAAAAGCAAGTAAATTATCAAATCAGTCCTCTGTTTCAGAGAAGCTGACATACTAAGATTACTTCTTCAGCTCGTACGTATTTAGAATCATAAAGGACATAAATCCTTACACATACTCTATTTACTTTCTTGTGTGCTGCAAAGCATCTACAGCTTTAACTGTCTGTGTCCACTATTGGGCTCGTGTAGTACGGTCAAGCAAGCAAACTTCAGCTACAATAAAATTTTGATGGACGACAAGTGCAGCATTATAAATAAAACTAGATATAAAATAGAAGTAGCAGTTGGAAAATTTTGAACTGGTTAGGGCCTAGTATATATTACACCTCTCATTAAACTCAACTCTGCAATAAATAAAAAATTAATCAACTGCTTATAATCTAACATTAATAAAAATCTAACACTTGACATTTTTACTAGTAAAAAGAAGGCTATTAGATTTATTGGGCCATAATCTAATAGTTCATGTAGATGGTCTTTTCACTGTACTGAGTCATCATAGATTTGAAAACTCTTTTGAGGTAATAAAGATGTTATTGCATATGTAGTCCACAAAACAAACTTTATTTATCTGTTTTTAAACTACAAGTATTCAGAAGATGATCAACCAATCTAAAGATCTAAATTTAATAATATAATTTACTAGCATTCCTTTCGATAAACTATACACTCTTAACTATAATTATCAATCAATATTTGAGTTTGAATATTTTTTAACCACTAAAAATAAATCTTGAAACTTTAAAATTATTAAGTACAGCAAAAATGGCATATTTTAGAATTCCATTTTGAAATATTAAACTACTAAAAATAAATACCTGCATGTACCACAAACATAAACAACAAATGTGTGTTTTTACAAAGAATAGTATACATAAGAACAGTCAGTAAGAAAAGATCTCAGCCATACAAATATATGGGACTCAAAATGTAAATTTTGACTTTGATTAAAGTATCAGATAAATTAACCCACCAGGTTACATCTCTTGACAAATCCTCAGTCGTATTACACACTAGCTCTAGAGGCTTTGGAGGGTTCAAGATAATCCCTTGCCCAGGCACTTCTTCATTCGTACGAATCATAGAAGCTAAAACATCAAAAACATATTTCAAATGCTGTAATTTTCAGATAGGCAAATACAGAATGTGTAATTTAAATAAAAAGTACATTTAATTTTTTTATCACAATACATGAACAACAGATACATAAATATGGATTACACTATACAAAAAAAAAGAATTTCAAAAACAAAATTTCAGTAATAAATAAATAATTTTATTGAAGACTTCTGTGAGCTGCATCTGCCTTTTTGCAAAACATTTTGAGCTTCTAGTGTAGATCTTTATCAAGTTGACCTGATGAAGATCTGTGTTAGTAGTTCAAAACATTATCTAAAAACTTCTAAGGCAGATACACAATACAGAAGTCTCCAGTCAAGTAATCTTCTCTGCCTAAGTGGTCTATTAAAGAACACAATAACTGTATTGTTTTAACTTACTTAAAAAAAGTTTTGTTTTTTTTTAACTAAAGTACACCACTGATTTTCTGGTATCTAACAGTCCAGCACCTCATTTAATCTGAACAAAATTACAAGAGCGCACTTGAAATACCTGTGACTGCTAGACTGCAGGGTATAGCAAGTAGGCTTTATTAAGAAAGTCTGGCCGAGTGGATGAATGTTGACAAAGAAACACCTGTTGTTCATCACTATACTGACTCTGAAATTATGGATATTGTTCTGAATCTTTATAAAAACAATGAAAGTGATGAAGACAACAGTAAAGAAGATAAAACAGATGTAGCTGAAAGACTTACTATGGACAAGTTAATTGAGTTGATGGGTTAATTAATCAGTGGGCTAGAGCAATGAACCTTCATGACAGAACAAGAGCTAATGACTCTTCATTTGCTGTATGAAAAATTACACAGGTAAAGATCACAGCACATAAAACAACTTCGCTTGGATGAAATGTTTTAAAACATAGCCTAGAAGAATGTGTGTCAGAGCAGTAGGCCTATATCTGATAATTCTGTGGCTTCAACTTCAAGTACCCTGGGTGTTCCCCCTGCAACATCACAAATCCATGATGAAACAGTCAGCTGTGAAACAGACAATAATCCTGACAGCCTTCAACTTCCAGACCTTCGTGATTAGCTCTACAATTCCAGTAAAATTCTAAAATTTGCTACTTTGGAAGCAGTTCTACTGCAACATTCTTTGTAAGTATAGTAATTAATAAACCTTTTTCCTTTATACCTGTACTAATGTATTTAATTTAATTCAAATTCAATTTACATTTACTATTTGTTTTAATTAAGTTTCTAGCAGTCCATGGTGCTTTAGAGACACGGGAGGGGTATAATTAGTGAGTCAGAGGTGTATTGTTGAATTATTATTACGTGATTTCTGTTGGTCCTGCAAAATGGATAATCTGGCAAAGCTTTGGACCGAAGGGTACCAGAAAAATCGATGGTATACCTGTAATTTTATTTCTTAAAGAAGATGTTTAACCACAGAAAAATAAACTGCACCAAGTTTGAGTGTATAGTTTTTCTTATATTTATATCGATACATATTACTTACTCAAGTTATGTTATACTTTATATTCACACAAATAGATCTCTGGATAAGTTCTGAAGCAGGATTTGAAAGATATTACTGATCTACAGACTTTCAGACTATAGAAAACTATGTTAATCTGTGAAAACAATTTTCTACATCAAAAGTTCAGTTATTATTTATTAGTAAGAAAATTTCATCAATAATTTATTCTATTTCTTGAATTTGTGTTTCAAACAATCTATAAAAGTACATTTATCTTAATTTAGATAAAATAAAAAGTTTGCAAACATATCACAAATTTCTCGGGAAGAGCAATAAATTGCTGGGATACAAATCAAAACTAAATCACAAAAATATAAAAAAACATACAGTGAATAAATAAAAAGTGAATACAAATAAATAAAACTGAACACCTGGAATAACTGAATTTAAATATGAGGATATTCCTTACTATGGAAATTTCAATTTTAAAGTAATTAAATTTGTGAAAAATTTTTGAAAAGTAATGGTTAAAAACATTATTTTAGTGTGTTTTATATTTGAATCAAGTTGACAGCTAATTTTATGAAATGCAATGTTCTTCAGCCACAAACTGTGTAAATATGTCTTGTTGTGTATGATATACTACATGTAACTCCATTCATATACATTAAATGCATACGTATAAAAAAGACTGATTTTTTAAAGCTTGCAGAAATTAGAAAATACTTTGATATTATTCAATATGACTATTGAAAATTAAGGAATTCAGTACTTCTTAAAGAAGGATATTACTTACTAATGCAAAATATTATCAAAAATTTTTTTATCCTCTGATAGATTGTTTAGGCAGAGTATTCATGATGAAACTTTGTAGAATAGACAGCAACTGCCTGTTGTAAAGACACAAGTGTAGAGGATGACGTGTCGAAACGTCGTCCTCTACACTTGTGTTTCTACAACAGGCAGTTGCTGTCCATTCTATAAAGTTTCAAAAATCTTATCATTCTTATCTTATTTGATCAAACTTTACTGTAAGTCTTAATGGTTTATAATTTCTGCAAACAGAAAAAAACTTTAAATCTGTAACCAGTATTGTCATAATTTCCTATCAAAATGTAATGATTTCTTTTTTTACATATAACAATTTCAAGATCATCAAGATCTTGTCTAGAACTCTTTATAGAGGAATCTATAATACTAGTCAGTACACTGTAGCGAAGATAGCCAATCTCGGCACCACTCACAAGGTCAGTTTTGTAAACTTGTTTTAAACAAAATATGGTACATCATCAAGGTTCTAAAGTGCTGCAAAATAAAAAAAAATGTGTACAAGTTATTTCAAATACACGTTTACATGCCACTATTCAGAGAGATGTTTCTCAGATGTTATCACATTACTGTGTTTATACTATTTTAAATATTCAATGTAGCATTTTAAAGTTCTAATGGTTATCTATAGTGAAGTTCTTATAGTCAGCAGCTGAAGGTTGTCACTATCCAAAAACAAATATTTCTTTTAGTAAAACTAAAATACACACCTTAGTAAATTTCTTAACTTGATACAAAAAGTAAGAAACTGTTAAAAGGTACATAATGCTCTGATATCAAAACTTTCTGCTACAGAACAATGCAAGTCTTAAGACCTCTCAAAAGTAACACAAATTGGGTGTTGTTCTAATATTTTTTTTCCTTATCACCCAAATTGTTACATTTTGATTTAAGGCTGTCTTTACTTTCTGGCTTTCCAGAAGCACCACCATGAGCTCAATTATTTTAAAAGTTTTCACTAACTACAACAAATGTACATGTAAAATAAACTTGTTTTCACCCTGCCCATTCATGTTAGTTTAAATCAGTACCTTCAGCACCATCACTTAGATTTAGAAGATAGATGTTTGTTCTCTTCTTATTAAAATAAAGTGAACACAAATTCTAGAAGATACATATTATTCAAAGTTAATATGCAAGTCTTAATTTATCATGTTTATTAACTTTCAGCACTCCAGGAACATGCATACATACATAATAAAAACCTTGACTTCATACATTACTGTCGGGTGTAAAAGAATTACAAATGCACATCAAGATGTCAATATCTAAGAAGCACTACTCTACACAGATTTATTAGATTTATGGTAGTATACATGAACATGCAAACAATAAGTTCATGCCTTAATATCTTCTTATATTCTTTGATAGAATACTAAAACACATGAAAACTGTCCAATTATTCAAAGTGTACATATGTAAAGATTAGGCATTAAACAGAATAAATATTCAAGAAACTTGGACACTTTGGTATATTAAAAACTTGTTAAAAGCACAAGACAAACTATGCAATGATCTTGGAGTGTAGTTTTTCATAGTGTACTTAAACAGTACTTGTAGTTAACACTTAATATCTTTCTTATATACTTCACAGTTTAAAACTATGGAATGCACATTTGCATACTTATGTTGTAGTAACACTGTTCTGAGACTGAATCATAAGCTACCCAATTCCAACAACTGCAGGAAAAAATATTCTTATACTGCTGTCTAATCCAAAAGATTTTATATGTAACACAAGTTATTAGAAAATACAATACTCAAGCATAAGATATAGAAGCAGTGACAGCCTTTACTGTGAAGTGACTAAAGAATGTGCTTTGATAGGACTCTGCTGACAACTGTACGTACAATCAATCATATCCTCTTCAGCAAACATAAGTCACAAGGTCACTGTTCTATAAACTACACTAAGAAAATAAACTTTTCTATTCAAGATACAAAAAGTGCCATTACATACATGAAAGTGGGTTTATACTCTGAACAGAAAACAAGTAGATTACTGAGAAACCACTCATGAATGCATCACTTTTAATATGAACATACATTCAGAAAAGTTTAAAAGAATAAAACATAAGCAATGAAATTTACATGTATTTTACACCAAGTAAATGTACAGACATACTGACTGTTAGTGTAATTTATAAAATTCACAAAAGCACAACATAAAAGTCTAAGCCATCTCATTGTGCTACATTTCAATACTTATTTACTAAAAAATATAAATACTGTATTGTATATTTCAATGCACTGCCTGTTAGAGCAGGGCAATAAGTAGAATTTGCTAGTCAATTAATCATTGAACATATTTAACATTCAACTAATTGATTATTCTCATTATATGGCTAGAAAAACAAACTTACTATTAAATACAGGGTTTCAATACCCATGGTGGGAAGAGCACAGATAGCTCATTGCATAGCTTTGTATTGAAGAAACAAACAAACATAATGGCAATATTTTGATTACTTGGATAGTTGGAACAAAAGTAAATAATAACTGGAAACTTCATTTCGATTACTTAATTATTTTGTGGAGTCGTTTAGCTAAACAAATTTGAATTATCTGAAAATAATGAAAACTCATAAAGACAATATTTCATTAATCAATTCAAGTGTAATTCCAATTACTGAATAGTTAGAATAATTAAAAAGATTAATAACTAAAAATTAGTTGAATATTTTTTTTTATATTAGTTGAGATAATCATAATTT